TGTGTGTGTGTGTGTGTGTGTGTGTGTGTGTGTGTGTACAGGGTGTCCCGTGTAAGACGGACCAAAAGAAAAATATAATTAGAACACATAAAAGTGAACAAAAATTGTATAGGTCATTTTTCAAACAACTACGTAAAATTTCGAGATATTAATTAAAATAGTTGGGCATATCAGAGCACGGTGACGCGGCAGGCGGGCAGAGGTCGGCGAAGAAAATGGAAGAACGCACACGTACACGGATGTACACACGGAGCTACTCATTTTAGTACGCCAAACGGCCCACCTCTTTGGTCTATAAGATAGGCCCGCGAGCAGTCATCCATTTTCTTCGCCGGCCGCGGCGAGCCGTATGTCCCGCCTGCCGTGTCGCCGCGCTCTGATATGCTCAACTATTTTAATTAATATCTCGAAATTTTACGTGGTTATTTGAAAAATGGCCTATATAATTTTTGTTCACTTTTATGTGTTCTACTTATATTTTTCTTTTGGTTCGTCTTACGCGGGATACCCTGTGTGTGTGTGTGTGTTTATGTGTGTAATACACACACACACACACACACACGTGTTTACGAAATACTTGAACCAACTTTTAAAGCATATTTTTTTGTTCTCGTTAAAATAAAAAAAAATAAATTTATATAACTCATAATCAAATATGAATAATTTCGAAGTTATATGAAAACAAAGTTTATGTTAAGTTTACTATTAGATAATCATAAGTAAACATTTAATTTTGTAATAGTTGAGAGACGAACGGTATGTTCAGAACTCCGGCGAACACCGTACGGTGGAACGGAGCATGCACGACCGATGAAAAATATATTGAATAATAATTATCTAAATAAATTAGCAAAGGAGGATCAATCGTATAGTCTCCACGTTCTCCCCTTATAGAAATATCATACTAAGAATCATTGATAATTACTTATTTTCAGTATTAAAAATACTGGATAATAAGTAATTATCAATGATTCTTAATATGATATTTTTATAAGGGTCCAGACTTGAATTCTCTAGATTTTTATCTATGAGGACATTTAAAGTGTATTCACAACCTATTGATAACGAAGAAATATCTCGCCAAGGCATAATTAATACTTGTGAAGCTATATGGAATCATCTACGAATCTTTGAAATTATTCGACACTCTTTACTCCGCTATAAGTGTCTGTCTTCAATCAAATGACGGACATTCTAGGCATTTGTTATAATTTAAACATTTATTTACGATTGTTTAATAGCAACGCGTTAATATAAATTTTATTTTACTGTAACTCACATTTGATTATGGGTTTATATAAATTCTTTTCTTTATTTCGTAAATGTTCACTTTAGGGGAGTCACCTCTGATGACATTAATCTTGACATATGTTGTTAAAGTCATCGTCCTGAGTAAAAGGCGTATCATGTATGTTTAGCCGTCGCTCGTTGTTTATTAAAAAGTTATTAACAAAAAAAGTTTTATAAACGAAACGTAATTTTGGTATACAATATGCATTGAAATATAGTAAACAGTATATGTATATGCGCGGGGAAAAGGCGCCGCCCCTTCCCCCGCATCCCCTCCACAAAAAATGTAATCCTAACCTAACCCATTTACTGAAACATGGTAAAAAGTATGCATATACTGTTTGTGCATATACGTGTATTGTTTATCATATTTCAATAGATAAGTTAGGTTAGTTAGGTTAGGGTTACGTGTTTGGTGAGGGGGTGTAAAGAGAGAGGCGGAGCCCCTCTGCCGCGCATATACGTGTACTTTAGAGGAGTTACCTCCGATGACCTTGATCTTGACATATATTATAGAGGTCATCCTTCTGAGTAACCTTCAGAAGGTTTTAGCCATCGCTCGTTTGTTAAAAAGTTATTAACAAAAGAAATTTTAGGAGTTAAACGCAATTTTTGCACACAGTGTACATGGAAATATGGTAAACAGTACATGTATATGCGCAAACAGTATATGCATACTTTTACCATGTTCAGTAGATGGGTTAGGTTAGGGTTAGGTTTTAGGGGAGGGAGTGCGGGGGGAAGGGCGGAGCCCCTTCTCCGCGCATATACGTGTTATACGCATATACGCGCATGTATTGTTTACCATATATCCACGTATATTGTATGTAAAAATTACGTTCAACTTCTAAAACTTCTTTTGTTAATAACTTTTTAACAAACAACGAGCGATGGCTAAAATCTTCTGAAAGTTATTCAGGAGGATGATCTCTATAATATATGTCAAGATCAAGGTCATCGGAGGTGCTCCCCTAAAGTGAACATTTACCCTTTATTTTGACGAGAAGAATACGCATTAGAAGTTCGTCCAAATATTTTATAAATATCTGTTGCGTATACACACATATGCACGCACGCACATATGTATGTATGTATGTATATATGTGTATATGTATGTCATTTTGCACTCATAGATCTCACGGTAAGTATTAGAAAGTATCATACATACATAAAAGTATGTATCGATACTTTGTTGATCTACATCTTGTCAAAGTATTTATTATTACAGCAACAAAAGTGACATATCTGTAGAACATACTACTCGTAGGACAGTAAATGAAAAGAGAGGAAAAGCAAAAAGAAAAAGTTGATAGAGTAAGAAAGGTGTATTAAGGTGATATGGTCAAAAACAGTGAAAACACAGATCTTCTTGAAACTTGAAGCAAAACTAATTTAGATATTAATACGTATATGTATTAAATATGGGTTCGATTAACTGTATAGTTTCCGAAAAATTACCGCTTATAGTTTACTCTTTTTTTCGATATCTTACATGACGCTGACGTACAAAAACTAATACGTAAACGCGCATTTACAAATGACAAGGATTAATTTAGGCAAAATTAATTGAATACTAACAGAAGTGCATATTTTAATCTTAGCGAAATTGACCATACATTATTAGAATATGATTAATCAGCAAAAATAATTGTGGCTTTTACTTTTTCGTTCGCGACTATGCTTTGCGGATGTGGCAACGTTTCATTTTTCGGAGCTTGGCGTCGCATAACGCTAATAGAGATGCGACGTTGTCACGATCTACAGTCTCGCGACTACACGCAATTTAGCATACTGTTTCTTTTTCTATCATTTTATTTATTTTATCGATTTTTACTATTCTGAGAGAACCAATAATGTTTAAAAATCTGTTTTTCACTTTCACTGAAAAGAATTCATCGGTTGTTGAACCTTTTATTTAAAATCTAATTTTGAGTATCACAGTTGGGAAACAACTACCTTAAGATACTCCTCCGTATTTAAAGTATATAATTTTACTAGTCTTGAAATATACTCGTTAATGCTGCGTTATCGTATCAGCAGACCGATTATCTGTGAAATAAATAATCAAGAGAAAGGAAAAGAGCAAAGAGATGTATTATCCCAGATAGACATATTTTGGCATATTATCTGCTTAACGACTATCACAACCCTTATAGAAATATCATACTAAGAATCATTGATAATTACTTATTTTCAGTATTAAAAATACTGGATAATAAGTAATTATCAATGATTCTTAGTATGATATTTCTATAAGGGAAATACATAAAAATGCGTCCTCATATAACAAGAATTTTATCAGTATATAAAAGAGATTATCTGATAGAAATTGCTGGTTATTTTGCTGAGAGCAGAATGCAATCAATTCGGAATTTGTATAGTAATAAGAAATAAATATTTTGATTAAAATCATGGCATAATAAATGAGTATTTTTTTAAAATAAGCGTATTTTAAACACATTGTGCTATACACAAATAATAATGTCACAAAATATATATTAAAAGTTTCTATGTTCAGTATTTCTGTCTATCTGAGATAATACAAACGCGCGCGTGCACGCTTATTTATACAC